TTTCTCTGCCCTGCTGTGAATGCCAACCTTTTGATCACATACTGGTGCCAGATCCTCTGCCCTTAACTCATCTGAGGAATGAGAACCACACACTGAATATGGTAATTATTTCTAGTATGTACAGGCATATATTTCCTAGATGTGTGCAGATAAAAATTGCCTTGATTAAAAAACCTAAAAGTCATGGGTTAATTCATTAAATCATACATGGCAGCTGCAAAACAAGTTTATTCTGCTTGGTTTAATAATCACAATACCAGTCCTTCCACATGACATAAGATGTATTTTAACACCCCTCACTAAACTTTGGGGGCAAAGCAGCAGCAGCTGGAGAGAGACACTTTATTATGTTGCACTATTCGTTACAAAATTCTGACTTTGAAGCTTAAACACAATTTGAAAAGACAACAAATAACTTAAAAAGGATCTTTAAACATGCAGGAACTTAAAACCCACTTAATTAGTTCACATCTAAATTTGGAACAACAACAATTCCTAAAACCAATTTTAAATAAAAGATCTACAAGGATGATATAAAAATAGTTCCTGATGTTAGAGCCAAAAAGTATTTCAATCATTGCAGAAAACAAATCAAACCATGTAATATTTTTAAATTCACCCTTTATATTAAATTAACAGTAAACTTTGAGGGAATGGTTCACTGTAGAAGCTTCTAATACACATGACTGAATTTAAAGGAAAGTATTGGTACCATGAATATTGACTAGTTAAAACAAGGTAGAACTTGCACATACCATTTAACTTACAACTGCATGCCACAGGAAGGGCAGACTCAGGAAATCATTTCCAAATACCATGGAACAAACAGATTAACTGGACCCTTGATCAGGCTTTGACCTGTCAGGTGGTTTCTTTAGTAACTCTGCTTCTCTGGCAATCTGAATATCTGAAGGCCAAAAGATCTGATGTACAACTTTGACAAGCAATCGAGGAAGTAATCCAACAACTACTATAAGAAATATGGTGAGCCAATAGGTCGGAGACTTAATCAGATGGTAAATTGTCCTGCCAAATATAGAAACCAATTTAGCTCAAATCTAGAGAACAAATCAAACAGATCAGGATAGACAAAATAACATCTTTGCTAGGACATTCTTGAAACTAACCAGTAATTGGGGAATATAGGTATAGAATCCAATACCACCATACATGCATAGGTGATAATTACTGATCCCCAAACTGCAACATGAGTAATAAATACCCAACGCTTAATGTCCATCGCCAGGTGAATATTTACAAGAATAACAACTGCTATAGTCCATAAACTGCCCATGCTCCATATGTCAACTGAGCTCTCCTTATAGGTAAAGAGGGGTATGTAGAAGAGAACAAGACTCTGCCATAGCGTGTCAATCATTGTGATCCAAAATAGTTGCAGGTTATATGCCTCATGCCTATGCCCCGCGCCATATAGTTTTGGATACAGTAAAAGAGTCCTATGGCTCAAGTCCTTGTCCAGAATGCCAACCACAATAGTAGGGATTGATGTATATATAACAGAATAAAATACACTACTCCAATCTGTCAATGCAGAAGTTGTTGAAAAGGCTGTGCATAATATGTACCTACAAATAAAAGAAAGCAACGTCAACATGAAACCCACAACTCCATTAACTGCATAATTTGTGAAGCAAGTATAACTTTGTTTTCTGGAACTTAAAACGATGCACTGCTACCTAATAGATCAAAGCTTGTCCATTACTAATGAAGCTGTGAAGGTGGCTAAGAGGTTCAAAGAAATTAAGGTTTGATAGTAAAGGAGAATTCTATTTTATTTCTAAAGATCTTTTACATTGCTATACACAAATCAACTGACACGGAAGAAAAAAAGAATCTGCTAAAAAATCTACTCATAAATAAATGATGGAAACTAGTTTTGTATCTCCTTAAAGATCCCAAAATGAGAGGGAAAAAAAAAAAAAGGCCTACAGGAGATCATCTTTCCATAACCAAATTATGATTAATAACCCAATAATTATAACTAGTTTTAAACCATTTGACAATTATGATGCCTTACTGTCGTTAAACCAAAAGGCCAAAAGGAATTTTCTTAGGATTTGATAAAAGGGCTATAGATTCACAATGATGGTACCTGATGCCAAAAGATGGTAAAAGTATAAGCAAGGTAAAAGGACAACAAATATTTCCCCACCAAAGACACACACACAAGTCAGAGAGGACGAGTTTGCAATACAGAAAAAAAGATTAGCATACCAGAATAACATCAAGACAAAAACAGCACTACATTAAAGGTTGTATAGAAGTAAATAAGTCAGAGAGGACGAGTTTGCTGTACAGAAGAAACTATTAGCATACCAGAATAGCATCAAGACAAAAACAGCATTACGGTAAAAGTTGTACAGAACTAAATAAGCAACACGCTGATAATTCCAGTGTCCATGCACCAGAAGCAATCTCTTCAGAAACCGAAACTGGCCCATGGCAAAATCAGATGCCATCACTGCTTGACGCCCTTCCTGGCCACATATTCCAACACCAACATCCGCCATTTGGATCATAGAGACATCGTTAGCTCCTGCTCAGAATATCATTACACATTAGTTACATAATGCAAAAGGACAATGGCTTCCCAAAAGAAATATTTAGTAGATGCATTGAGATGCAACTCCCTGATACATAAAGTTTAGTAGAGTCAACATTTAGCACAAACAATAACATTAGCTTAATGTGTAAATCCATTGCAACTAAAACAAGCTTCCACACAATCTTCCTTAATGGCAAAAAGGATTATTAGAAAGAGAACTCACCATCCCCTATAGCCAGTGTCAAATCATCAGTGCGGCTTTTGATCATATCAACAATTCCAGCTTTCTGCAACGGTGCAACTCGACAACATAGCACAACCCTACAGGAAGTTGCAAGGTCGAAAAGCTGTTCAAAGATAAAAGGTTTGCATCATAAATATTGGCAGCAAACAAATATGGGAGTGTAAAAATACAAGGGAGAGTCCCAATGCTTTTAAGTGCATATCAAGAGAAAATTCAGACATAGATCAATATCCAAAAGACGAGTTAATAAATGATACATGATAAAGTAACAATTTTATCTGAGGAAAAACAGTATTCTTACTCCTGACTCTAAATCCTTCTCCAAAATGTACACCAGACTGTTGCCATCAATTATGAGTGCTAAGGGTGGTGCACATGCAATTCTTTCTTCCTTCCTGTCATGGCATTGCAGCTCATTGGACCTTTTTATACCATAGGGTATATCAAGATACCCATTTTCCACATTTCTTTTCCTTTCTGAATTCTGATACCTTCTATTGGACGATTGCACACCATATTTGGTCATTGCATCAGCCAAAAGATTTCTGCATTCCTCCTCTGAATTGCCATTTATAATTATCTGCTGCATATCAGGAGTCAGAAGTTTGCACGAGAGACCAATAGAAATTGCAGTTTCCTGCTTATCACCAGTCAGAACCCAGACTTTTATTCCTGCTTGACGAAGAGCCTCAATTGCCTCTGGTACACCATCTTGGAGCTTGTCCTCAATTGCAGTTGCTCCAAGTAGATTTAAGTTGCATTCTATGAGAGCTGCTGTTTGGCGTAGTTTCATAGTTCTGTCAATTAAAGAAGTGCTTGCATCTTCAAACCTGCACCGCCATTGCTCAAGTTCTGAATCTGTAAGATTCCTTGCAGCAACTACAAGAGTTCGAAGACCTTGTGATGAATATTCAGTTAAATGACTATGAGTTGCACGTTTTGTTTGATCATCCTTCTGAGTGTCTTCAGCTAAAATGCTGAACATTGAGGTATCAGCACCTTTCACCAACACCTTCACGGTATTATTTGGGAACCTGACAACAACAGACATTCTCTTCCGCACACTGTCAAACTCATGCAGGCCCAAAACATCCAGCCTGCAATGTGAATTTTCTATTTTAACAATGCAATTTATTTTGCTTAGAGAATATATCTTTGATACTTTAACATTCAACCCCATACCCTATCACAGTTACTAAAGAAGGATAGATCATTAATCCTGGGGAATGAAAACTCATGTAAAAGATTACGTACCTTAATTCTTCACCATGGACATCAATCACAATATGCCCAGATGTGCGCTCGCAGAGAGTGTAACCATAAGCAGATGCTGCAGAAACTAGTGCTTGCTCATCAGGAGATTCACCTTGGTACGCAATAGCTCCCACATCTTCTTGTGCATGACTTCTTCCCACATCAGAAGTGGGACTTTGAGTATGCATTGGGATTACAGTATTACAAGCGGCAAGGGTAAGGAAGAACTCATGTGCAGCCGTTTTCTCAGCACCAGCCAAGTCTTTGTGCAATAATTGCATGAGTTCAACATCAACAGGAACTTCAGATTTAAGTTTCCATCTTCTTCTACCAACAGCAGCAGCTGCAAAGATCATACAAATGATGGCTCATAAGAAAGAAACCAGAATGGACTCTCAGCAGAAGTATGCTCCACTGAAGAATTCACAGTAACTACATGATAATCATCCAAACAAAGTTCATGATATGTTAAGCAACAAACTAGGTTCTTAGCAAGTAAGATATCGAACAGAAGAGTAAAGCATCAGGTGCAAAAAGTTCCCAGATGCCAACCTTTGTCATTTAGTAGCAGGAGAGCAACACAAATAGGCACAATTCCTAAGAAAAGCTAACCATAATAAACATAAACAGTTACATCTTCAAAACAACAGGCATGCTTCATTTCATAGAAATTAACAATTAAACATAAAGATCTTTAAAGTCTGACTTCATTGAGAGTTCAACAAATGAAGACATGACTTGGATAAAAATTTGCTAAGAATCTCAGTCAATTTGTAATGTCAACAACCAAATAAAAGTAGTGAAAATGAATAATTTGAAATTCATCCTTAAATAGCATTTAAAATTGTGCACATACATGCCAAGCTAAACAACTAGAAATTTGCAAGAAATAGAGATGACAAGTGTAGATAGCCTAAATTTCTAAATCATAAGCAGTACAAACACCATGAAATGGAAAGGTTATGTTATACCTGTGATGTCCTGTTCCTCTTGTGAATCCACCATAAGAACATAGTTTCCATAATTCTTCCCACAGATACTTGCTTGCCGGAATTCCATTTTGTTTTCAGTAAGTGTCCCAGTTTTGTCCGAAAAGACATAACGTATCTGACCCAAATCCTCATTTATATTCAATGATCGGCACTGAAATCTTGAGTCAGAGTTGCTGTCATACATGTGCTTGTCTTCAATCATGAAATAAGATTGTCCCAATCGAACCATCTCCATTGTTATATAAAGAGAGATAGGAATCATTATCTGAAATACTATTATGGAACTCAAAAAGGAGAAAAAAGTCTCCATGGCAATTCCATAATATTTGTATTTCTTTCCATTATCCCTCCCTGTTGTGAAGTATCGTTTTCTGAAATAAGGTAGGGTGTCAAGCTCCTCCTCATGGCGACGGAGCCATAGGCACATACCAAGGGCCACCACAGAACACATTACAAGAAGGAAAATTGATAACCAAAAGGTTTCCCTGTTCATGTAACTCTCCAGTTTGCTTCGCTTTGAAGGAGATATTGCACTATTCAACATTGCTTTTGTTTCCTGTCCAGCATACACCACAACACCTAATATCCAATCAGTATTTTTCAGCTGACAACCACGCAAAACAATATTTGATTGGCTAAGGGGAAACTTTTGATCATTGAACTCCATATTAGCAGTGAATTCATAGATATTCCTATTAGGTTGTTCACATCTGATCAGCCCTGATATTGCAGAACCTTCGAATTCTGAAGCAGCTGTCTCCTGCCTTGCATACCTTGTCTTCAAGTTTGACTCACCATCCAAATTCATGGTCTGAATGTAAGCAAGTCCACTAGGATCACTTGTCTGTAACAAAACCATGTCACAGGGAATTGTCTCATCAGCAAAGATCTTAACTACTTCACCAGCTCTTATCTTTTTCCATTTTTTCAACCGGAATTCACCAGAATGAAGCACTGCAGCCTCCCGGTTGTTCTCCTTTCTATCTGACCTGTGCCTTCGCCAGTCCTCATAACCATCTTTAATAGCAGTGACACAGAGCACAAAGAGCAGAGGGAAAAGAGACACTGTTCTCCCAAAGACTGCAAGAGGTGGCAGCTGGTTGAGAGCAGCAATAGCCAGAAAATATAGGTAGGCAACTCGGTGAAACTGAATGAAAAGGTTCTTGGGCAAAAATGTGATCAGCGTGTACTTGCTTGTTCGAATCTCATTCCCAGTGAACTCATACTTGTCATTTGTTTTCCTTGGATCATTAATGTATATCAACCTAGGATCTTCTGCACAAGATGGATCATCACCAAGTTCCACATTTTTATTGTGGAACCTCCGAGACTTGTTCAACTTTTCTTGCACCATAGATGAAGCCCCGGAAATTTCAAAAGTAGTAGAAGTGTTATTGTTTTCAGGCAGCTCCATGGAACCCCACGATACCAGGCTTCTCTGCTCCTGCGTGGGGCATTCCACCGAGAACTGCTGATGGAAGCAACAGTCAGCAGAGTGGCCCTGCTTTGTTGTTCCAGTGGAAAGAGAAGGTCCTACTGGTCTAAGGGGTTTCAAATGAAAACCAGTATCACCAACAAGCACATCCTCACCATCATCTTCTTGGTCTTTTAGCAAAGAATCTGCCTGAGTTTCCTCAAATGTAGAAGAAGAGAAAGACACTTTATGGCAGAGGCAGCCAAAGGAGCCCAAGTTGCGAGAACGAGCACGTCGGTTAACCACCACAGAGGAAGAATCTGATGATGACAGCAATGGCTGCCCGGAAATCATAAATGATTCTCCAATGACCACATTGGAGAATTTTACAAACAATGGTCCTTACTACCCAAAACCCACTATGAAGAATAATTAAACCCAGAGGCCCAGACCAATTACTTACTTGCAGCTCCAAGCAAAATTAAACAAGCCAGAGAATTTCTTCGAGCTTCTTCCTTCCCCAACTACCTAATTTCTTCTATTATTCAAGTTTCAATCTTGCAATGCCCCACACGGCAAAACCCAAAAGCCCTTTTTCTCAAACATATAGAATGCAGCTCGAAATAATCTCAAATTGTACCTTGCATATATCATTCTAGCAGATACACAGGCGATGATGACGAACAACAGAGACCCACTTGCTAGCTCTGAATCAATAAAAATGCAGCAACATATTGAAAGGCACACAGAAATTCAAAGCCTCAGGAAACCTTCAAGCACCTCCTGAATCAATTCAATTGAATGTCGACAAACCCCTGATACAGATCCAGATAACAACAACTGACCTCCACGGATCTCTCCAATAAAATAAGCCAAAACTGGAAACCCACGGAACGAAAATCGAAATGATTGCGATAGCTATCCACCCTGCAACCCTATACTACTGTAAGCGATAATTTGGAAACACAATTAACTACTAAAAGCAGCAGAAAAAGCGATCATTGCTGATCAGAGACGTACCTGATGCAAAATGAAATCATAAAAAGGAGGGTTATCGTATCGGGAAACGAGCAAAATACATCAATGCACTGAAAACGAAATCATAGTGAAATTGGCAGAGAAAAGCAGAGGCAAGAGACAAATACAGAAATAGAAAAAGGCCGGCGAGAGATCTCAGCGGTTCTGCAACAGATCAGAGCGGCACAGATCGTAGGAGGTGTAATGGTCGGGAAAGGAGAGAGAGAGAATGGGGATGCAGAGCTTTGTTAGGGCAGAGAGGGAGAGGGAGGAGGAGGAGGTGGAGGAGGGAAGACGAGTGGTAAAGCACAAATCTTGGCTCGGGAAGATGCTTCAGCTTCCTCGTCCCGTCTTTGCGAGCGAGGTCCCAGATGTTGCTCCCTGGTTTGGCACACATCTAATTGAATTTTTAATCCTTTTTTGGTATTTAAATTAAGGGTGGTGGTGCCAGAGAACGTTTTTGTTTCATATTTATATTTTTGTATGGTTTGATCCATGTAATTTTATAAATTTTATATAAATTAAAAAAATTAATTATTTTAATGATTCATCAAATTTTTAAAAAAAATCGGATAAAAATTTTTCTTAAATTAAAGTGGTGTCCGATGAATTTTTACCTATCTCATAACTAATTTTTTTTCCAAAGGGATCTTAATGATAGTGTCTCAAATGGATTTTTTCTTTTTTTTGTTCATCCTCTCAAAAATTATATTAAATATGGAGTAATTTAGAATGGAATTATATTAAATAAGTTTTTTTAATATTTATCTCTCCATTAATGACAACTAAATTTAAAAATAAGATTAATACGTGTTAATATTGATTTTTAAAAATAATAAAAGTTTTAATTTATTTTTAAAAATTAAAAT